TGAACAAGATGGACAACGTAGAACACGTAATATCGTCTCTAGATACTGCGCCGAATCGCATCGCAAACGACTCGGTAGCGGGACAAGCTACGCGACTTGGGCAGATTGATCCGTCAAGATATTCCACACCCGTTTTCGACAACACTACTGTACCGCAGACAAGTATATACAGGACTGGCATCTCGACAGTATCGCCATTGCCCTCCGGAGCTATCCGCGCTGACCGAGGCTTTGGCTTTAATCTCATGCCGAAGTTTGCCACAAAGAAAAACACTATATCTAGTCTCTTTGTGCCCAATGAAGTGGAACTTGCAACCTCACCTGAGGTTCTCGAATTGGCTAAAAAGGCTCAAGCGGAGGTCAAAAGCAAAAGCAGAGACATGCAGATATGGAGGAAGCTACTAGCGCGTCCTGACACTGAGGTAACGACACTCGGAACAGGTTCTGCCCTACCGTCCAAGTACCGTAATGTATCTTCTACATTGGTGCGGGTTCCTGGCATCGGCAACTACCTCTTGGATTGCGGAGAGAACACATTGGGTCAGCTTTCAAGAGTCTTTCCTCACGAAGAGCTCGTCGATATCTTCAAGAACCTGCGTATGATCTGGATCAGTCACTTGCATGCCGATCACCACTTAGGAACAGCAGCAGTGATTCGTGCTTGGTACCAAGTAGCACACAATGCTGTTCCAAATTCCCAGCCCCTAGACCCTTCCGCGACCAACATAGACCCTAGCGCATACGGTCTTGCCGTTATGTCCCACAGTGGCATGCTCCAATGGCTTAAAGAATATTCAGCCATCGAGGACTTTGGCTACAGTCGAATTCTCCCTCTTCAAATCACTCCCAACGAATACAAGAATGGGTCGAGGTTGTCTATACTGAACTCGTTCGGAAAGACACTGTCTGAGAATCCGGCCGTACCGAAAGCAGAGTATGAGAAATTGTTTGGTTTCGAGGAAATACAAGCTTCCAGAGTAGCGCATTGCCACGGTGCCATGGCTGTTTCAATTACCTTCCCGCGCTCGCCAGCAGACCTTGAACAAGTCAAGCCACTTAAAGTCAGCTACTCAGGCGATTGCAGACCAAGCGTCCACTTCTCCAAGATCGGACAAGATACCACAGTCCTCATCCACGAAGCGACTTTCGACGATGAACTACAAGGCGACGCAAAGGCCAAGAAACACTCCACCACCTCGGAGGCACTCGGTATCGGCGCAGCGATGAACGCGAAAACAGTAGTCCTCACGCATTTCAGCCAGCGCTACCAAAAGATCCCCGTCCTCCAAACCGTCACAGACGGTGAGGAAGAAGACCCTCTGCTCAACCCCAAAGAAGTCGCTGAAGACGTGCCCATGGAAGACGAAGACGCCGAAGTCGACCCCACCACCGAAAACGCAGACAACATGGACATGCACCCCACCGTTCCTTCTTCCACAACTCCCGCCCCAGGCCCAGCAAAACCCATACCCTCTCTCCTCAAGGAAACTTCGTCTTCGCTCCAAGAAAACGCCCGTGTCATCAAGGTGCGCAACAAGGACATGAAGGTCGCCATCGCATTCGACTACATGCGCGTCAAGATTGGCGAGATATACGAGATGGAGAACTTTAATGATGCGTTGAATGAGTTGCTTGTCAAGGACGAGGATACGGATGCCGCGTTGGAGCCGGCTGCGAATGGGAAAGGGAATGGGAAGAGGGCGAGTGAGGATGATGGGGAGGGGAAAGGAAATGGGAAGAAGAAGGCGAAGAAGGTGAAGGATAAGAGTAAGAGGAATAACTGAGATGCATTGCATGCGGTGTGGTGTACGAAGCAAGGATTATGACATTGATGTACATTATATAAAGAAGGAATGGTGCGTGTATGCATAGACTAGTTCAAAAGGACCGTCACATGAATCTCTACATGGTGTTTCGTTATTATCGTATCGATGTTTTGTACGTAACTCGGGTTCTCCGCCTGTCCAACAGTGATAGTTGAACATGGTGATCATGAACTTGCCGTGTCTTACCTTAAACGCGACACCGATATCGCCAAACGCCGTAATGCACAGGGTATCGTACGCAGTATCCCAAAGCAACGGGAAAAAAAAAGAGAGGCTTCTCGGAGCACATACTCTGATCTGACAGTCCGGGTGGCGCGAGTGTCGCAACGCCTCTAGGAAGTGTTATTTCCTTCAGCCGCCGGGCTCATCATCGTCATTATCCCAGGAAGGATCGGTACTCGCGAGGAGCATCTTGAAGACATTGCCGGTGGACGGCTCTGTATCGACAATATCCATAGGGACTGTGTAATGCTGTAATTTATCGTTGTCGAGATATTCGAGGCGGTGTTTCCCCGTCGCGTCATTCCCAAAACGGATGAACTGAATACCGACATGCTGTAACTTGCCAGCCTTCCACAAATTATCAGCCAGGTTCGTGATGTGATCTTGTATGGTGGAAACGCAGTATGAATCTGGCGACCATACACCGTCTGTGAGAATGTAGATGTTGACCGGGGGCTTTTCCTCTGCTCGTAGGGACAAAGACGATCGCTTGCTTGTCGGGTTCTGGTGCGAGTTTTGGTAGTAGAGCGGGAGGATGTTGCTGAGCGCAATACCCATTTGGCATTCGCCATATGGTCTCACCCTTTCAAATTTCTTTGTGAGCTTCTTGCGGTCTCTGTCACGACCTTTGTGCGCGGGACTATTGGCAAAATGTAACTCGATGCCGTCCGGATCCATGGTTTTGACTAGGTACGCCAGAGCTTCGAAAACGCGTTGGACTTCTTTCCAATATGGTCGCATGGATGCAGAGTCATCAACAAGAAAGATCTGTTAAAATTTCGTGAGCGAGCTTGTCACAGTCTAGTCAAGCGTGATGAAATACCTGATCTCGCCCACCTAGTCTTTTCAATGATTCCTCGCCCGGTAAAATAGTATGTGGCCACGTTTTCTTCTTGGGTATGTATTCCAAAACCTTTGTGATAGAGGCTTTGGGACGGGCTGACGAGCCGACAGATGTACGATATTGTGGAACAGGACTCAGTGTGGGAGGCAGTGGTGTCCGTTGCGACCCATGTGTAGTGTGGGAGGCTGAACTGTAAGGACCACGCATCGGTGCTTTTCCTTTTCCAGAGCTGGTAGCACTAGAAGGTGGGGGAGGAGAAGGAAGCCCATTGATCGTTGAGCGTCTTTCTGGAAGATGATATGATTGATGCCCTTGTATAACACCAGACGACTGCAGGGAAAGCGGATTCATATCCAAGCCCAGCCCGTTTGTAAGAGTTGGTGACATATTTACAGGCATAGAGTGTCGAACTTGGTTGTTTTGCGCAGGTGGTTGCGTGGGTACAGCATGAACTGTTGGTGTCGCCAGTTCTATAGCTCGTTTAAGATCCTCGTAGACTCTCCACGCATCTGGTCTTTTCGCTGGATCTTGCATCATCATTCCGCCAACAGTAACAAGGACCGAGCCAACGATGTTATCGATGTTCGCTCGGCGACTTTGAGTGGCCTCCTTATGCATTTGGTCTACGGCAGACAGGACATTTCTGGTGTTATGGAAGCAGCCACTATACCCTGTATTTCTGAGGGTCGTTTCATCATTGGTAGCTTCGACTCGCAGGCGATGGTACTTGTCTAGCCCTTTTTGGCCGAACACAGTCCACACTGCGGCTTCACTAATCACACAAGCCAAGGCCCATATGTCTTTAGCTGGATGTGCTTGCTTGATGCTTTGTTGCATGGACCTGTCCGACTCGCCACGGAAGGATTCGGGTGCACCTTGAGAGCATTGTTAGTTGAGTTGAAAATGGGCCTCGAGGGGAACATACTGTACATCTTCGTACCGTGCACGTCGCGAAGTTGTATCTCATCTTGGTCATCGGCCACTGCGAACCCAGCGAGACCAAGGTCTGCCAGTTTGAATGATACTCTATACGGATTGCTCCCGTCTTGCTCTGACACAAGGATGTTATCCGGCTTGATATCGTTGTGTAATCTCCTCAAGTCAGTTACAAGTCAGAGGAGGTGAACTCCGTGGTTCTTTTGACGTACCCAGCTTTGTACGAATGACGATCGTGCGGATTGGGCAGATGATGTATACACCCTATCGGCTTTATGAACTGTATGAAGTTCTTCCAGAATTCGAGGATATCGGCCATCGTCGTTGGCGGCTCGGTTCGTTCGAAGAAGTTTGTAAGGGTACCACCGCCGACATATTCACGTAATATGTTTCGAGTCTCACCCTGTGCCCACGACCCATAGAAGCGGGCCATATATTGCATCGCATCCTGGCCACTTGGGTGACTCAATAGTGTCCTGTAAGCCTTTACCTCATTGTTGTGTAACTTCGCGTAGTCCGATCGGCAGGATTTCAGAATGAAGACGTTGGTAGGGGGGATACCTAGTTCGTCCTTGGCGCAAAAGAGTCAGTTACCTGCTACAGATGTATGGAGCCATGCGTGTGCATGGAATTGACATACGGGTATGAGATGATTGTACTCATCGAACAGCTCAACCTTGAAGACAATCGAGTCTACACTATCCTTTAGAAGTACCTTGCCCCTGAACGGCACGACCATCTCCTTGTGTAGCCAAGTGTCATGAAGTTGGCCATACACGAGCTGCTTTGGACAGAACTTCCACTGTGCTTCGTAGAACTCATTGAATATGGTTTTGCAAACCTCCGGCCATGCGTCGCAGGTAAGGAAAGGAAGCCTTCCGTCTGCCATGTGATCGTATTGCACGAAGATCGCTAGATAGGGCCCCTTGTCTATCGAAAGAAGAACCGAAAATACGGCTAGGTATCTTTCGCGGACAGCATGCTCATAGAGGTCGGAGTTGCCCACATAGAATAAGAGCCTTCGCAGTCTCTCCTCAGTCAGGTAGGATCGAAGCCCTTCTATTGATACAATCGATCGAGTGACTGTTGGCATGGAATCAGCTACGGCGACCGCTGTGCACTCGTTTACGCGCTCGAGGAAATCGTGAAGTTCGGATTCCATCGCAGCTATCGGGGATGGTGCGCATCAGGTATTCTCGGTCGGCGCGAGTCGCGACAGGTATAGGAAGAGTTAGGAGGGGAAAAGAGGCGGTATGAAGTTTGCACGTAAGCTCGATGTGAGGTTGAAGCTTTTGCAAGTATGCGCGGCAGGCTGAAGCCAGGGCCCTCGGGGGTCTGCTCCATTTCTGCGCTAAAGCGATCAGGACAGGACCCCGCCCATAGCCTCAAGCCACACTCTACCGGACCTGCATCAGCTGCATCATCGTCCTTCGGTGAGCGTGCCATTATCCATCTAGAAAAAGGAGGACTTTCTTGTAGAAGATGTGATGAGAGGAAATAAGAGTTATCGCGAACAATGGAGAGGTGACAACAGGAAAGTTGGCGGCCACGCGGCTACGCGGCTGAGCGACTGTGATAGCTAGTCTACAATCCTACCGCGATAAACCTACTTTGGTTATCCAGGCTGCACATATGCTCTCGATGAGAATTGATCGATAATCGGAGATTTAATGACAGGAGAGATCTGCCTTGTGGACGCGACGTTGGCTTTTAGGTCGAACAACGTGGAACCGCCAAGACGCATCGGTCCGCTACTGACCATGGCTCATGGCCCAGGCTTCATGATACGCTCGCGAGTTTTGACGGCATTGACAGCGAACCTGATCTTGGAAATACCGACTAGATCCTTGCCTACGATCGGTTCGACTTCCAGATTAAACGGCTCTCGTATTGAACTATGCGACAAGACCAACTGATCATACCAACACACCAAGAGCTGAATAAAAAGAATGATCACGATCTAAATTTGACAACAGATCTATACGTCTAATATACAAGGGAGGAGACATCGTCATAGTTCCGATATCTGCTGTACTGATGGTACGACGCCGCAGAAATCAGACCTCTCCGGAGACCACCCACCTATCCGAAAAGCAACATTGCAAAACCAACCCACAGCCTTTACCAACAGGAAACGAAGAGCTAACGCATGTGATGTAGATGACGAACGTACAATCTGATAAGAGATCAGGCCTCCCCAACTGCTTCGGACTGATCGTTCGACCGAGCTTCCCTTCTAGCGAAGTAATATATGAAGTACCATGCGACAAAGGTCAGAGCTGTCGCAGGGAGAGCAATCATCAGATAAAGCCGGAGGCCTTGCATTTGCAGGTCTTGTTTACCATGTTCGAAGTTAAGAATGTCAGTGCTCATGAACGTCTGAATAGCTTTAGTGCGTGTATCCAGCATGTGTTATCGATCACTTACGGCGATGAAGGTTGCTGGAAGAAAGAAGAGGGTCACGGTGGTGATAACCCTCATGGAGACGGTCTCCTGTTTCGTCTTCATGGCAAGATCTTGCATCTTCACAGTCATTATCTCCATGCGAGCCGCGGATTCTCGAGACTCTTTAGCGTAGAACTCGCTGGCTTTGGAGCTTCGGTGCTGTAGTATACCGCTCATCTAGAACACGGTATTAGCACATGCTCAGTCTCTCGCTTCGATGGATGTAGCTTTGATGCATCCCACTATCCCACTAACCGTATGATGATGTGAGAGAGTATGGGTACTTACCAAGTTCTTCCGATTAGCCAGAAGATGCAACAGTGTCTCAGTCCGTGACTGCAGCATATGCATGTCTTTTTCCACGCCTACTATGCTCTTGTTAAATCGATGAAGACTAGCCTTGCACTCGTCTTTCAATTCCTGAGGAAACTCGGCATGCTCTGCAACTTCACCGTAGTGCAGCCTCAGTTGCTCAAGAACCTCAGTGTTCAGCTTGAGTACAAGCATGGCTTCTTGAACTTTCTCCTCGATATGCTGTATTGCCTGGAGGTTCTTGAAATTGAACTTGTCGTCCTTGTCTACTCCGCCATCGGAAGACGCAGATGGAAGCTCTGGCGAGGTCATTGCTCCAGGAGACGCTAGCAATGTCTTCTCGTCTCCTGAGGTTGAACGGCTAGAAGCTGTGTTAGATCGCGTGGGCCATGTTAGCAACTTGCGAAAATCATTCACCGCCGATTTCCATCGTTTCGTCTCAGGGAGAGCGCCTTTGCTTTGTCCAGATGTCCAGAAGCTGCAAGGCTGATTATTAGTACTTGTTGTCGTGCGCGTATATGTTTGCGGGCTTTCTCGTAGTGTGTTTGACCGGGTCCAGGGTCCTGTCAGAATCGGACGTAATGTGGTAGCCCTTGACAAGCTGGAGAACGGGCCAGCGCTGGCTCGTGGGCTTGTGATATTTGGTAGCGTAGGCGATGATAGCGGGGATGGCTTCCTCTCAACCTCAAGGGCATTTACCCCTCTTGTCAGAGCTTGCAACTGATCTTCGAAATCATTGATATACCATCGCCAGTTCTCTCCGGACCAATTGCACAACAGCATATGCGTTTCCAGTGATATCGTGAACGCATTACTGCGAGATCTGAGGGGGTCACCGCTATGTGTTGATCTCTCAGACACTTCAGTCACGCGTTTTTGTATTTCTTTGTTTCCCTTGACAATTATCCAGATCATTTTCCCATTTTCCACGTCGAATGTATGGTATACAGCACACTGGCGGATGGACCAGGGTTCTTTTGACCGACGTGAAGTCGGTTCCACGGATCTCAGATTGTAGCTGAAGCGAAGATCTCTTCCTGAGCGATCTAAACTTGGTAGTGCACACGTCTTGTCGTAAGATGCTAACCGGTATTCTCCTTTCAAGCCACTGAAATGGAAGTCTTTCGCTTCTTCCTTCAGTCCGAAGGGGAATATGAAATCCAGGAACGAAGGAGAAACCTGGTAGATTGTGCACAGGAAACTGAACATGTCGTGCGTGATCCGTAATGGCGCCCGGCTTTGTCCAGCTGTCAGGAATCTGTCATCATTAGCTGAATTCCACCAAAAAGCAAACGTCCACTGACATGAAACGGCATCTCGGATCGACAACCTCGGGCGTCAGTGATTGTCTGCAACTAAGTATAAGTTCCAATTCCCTTTGGTTTTTGACGCATGCCGAGCTGAAGCCTGATGCGTGGTAAGTAGGTCGAATTTCGGCCAGTAATAGAGCGCTTACGATTATCCAGTTCCCGATAGTCAAGAAATTCCAGTTCCACTCTCTCATCTTGAAAGAGATATTCAGATTGAGATTTCAGCCGAGCGACGTACCCTGCCAAACTATAGCTGAGGACACATCGCTGTGTGAGATTCTGAGGGTAGCTTCGGAAGTCTTTGCATGATGAAACGTATCGATCCATTGCAATTGCATCGAAGTTCAGCAATGGAAACTGGAATGTCCCTCATTGAGAAGACTGGGTAGATTGAGTTATATACCAACAGAGCAAATGACCGCAGCGCCGAGTTCCTAGTCCGGTGTCGCCTTAGGACATCGCCACGAATTCCTTTCTAGCCCCGCGGCAGACGAGCATGCAGCCCGCCCCCACAAGATCGCTGCCAACATCTTTCTTCAGTCGTCTTCCCATCTACGGCCCCTAAGCGTTTTTCTCTCGTTCTTGCTCGAAGTCAGAATTTGTACCAACACCGATATATCAAAGATTCCATACCGCCTCCAACCTTCTCGGAATTCGGAACTTGTACGTATCGTTAATGACCTGCACAATATGCTCAGCACATATCCTTGAGAATTCCGGGATTTCTCACTTCGATGTGGAAGTCACGCGAACCGTGCAACTCTCTCAGGTATTTCTCCAAATCTGCCTGGTCTAGACGGTAGACCGGAAAAGTATCCTCGACATAAGACATTGCGTAGGAGGTATACGATGGGTGGATGAGAGTGCTGGGGTACGATTGGTACTGAAGTGAACGGATAGAAAGAATCTATACCGGTGAGAGATGTGGCATTCCTGAGGTACACTGTAGGGACCTATGTCCTTCGCGCATCCGCGATTGACAGATATACACCAGGCTGGTATGCCCCGTTGCATGAGGCTCTGCTTCACCGAATTCATCACCAGTCCTCCAACTTCATGATGCGAGGCTGTCGGTATCGTTGAGATCGAGTCGACGAATGGCTGAGCTAGGCGTAATTGCTTTACATTCCGCCATGCATGCGCCTGCAACGTGGAAGTAGGAGATGACATGTAGTAAGCTTTCAGTGGTCAAACCTGCAGAACCGGTGAACTGCGATAACTGCGCCTCGCAGCCTTCATTGCCTAGTGCGCGAGCCTCATTGGCGAGGCTCAATGTGAGCAGCACAAGGGCGGGGACGAACGCCATTGTGACCTCAGCAGATGTCGGGGCAGATTCTTACGTACATGTGAATCTATGCATCAGCGGCACATTTCCTCGTTCAGTCATGTCTGAGACGCAGCACATACGAGGCCTGCTGAGGTTCACTGCCTCGACTTCGCCTTCCAAATCGTGGGGGTCCGGACTGGACTGTGGTATAAGAAGGACGTGCCCAGCATATTGACCAAGATCTCATGAAATTCTGGACAGAACCAGATATCAGTATATTGGAATAGTGTCGCGGCAAGCTTGAGATGGACACAGCCATCTGCATCTACGGAGCATGTCCGCTATGGTACGGGTATGACGGAGCCATGTACCTAGGTACCCCGCTAAGAGTCACTGCCCCACCAAAATTTTGATACTGTCCAAACTTTGGCTCGTGAACTGCGTACATATTCTCAGCTTTCCAGAATATAACACTCCTTAATTCTTCCCAATAAGAAGGGCACAATGTCGAAACCAAAAGACCTGCGCAGTCTCGTCGACCTCACCAAAACCACACAAGCGCTCCTCATACACTACCAGTCTTCCCTCGCGCCTACCAGAGATGCCGTTCCAACGTCTGAAACAGAGATAGCAGATCCTCTCGACATTATCAAAGGCTCAACTAAGCTCCTCAAATCGCATACGACCACACTGTCCCTCCTCCTCATCAACCCACCCCTCACACCCTCCGCGATAATAGCGAAAATCGGCGATGTGAGCTCAGGTCCACTGAACAGCATGGTGGCTGCGGCCTCATACACACCAAGAGAAGGACAGAGAGGCGATATTGGAGACATCATGCGCACAGAAGTCAAGGCGCAGGTACGGAGATTGCTGGGGACATGGGGAGAAGTTCTCGCCATGATCTTGAATATGGCGGAGAAAAGACAGAGCGCAAAGGGAAAAGATACTGGCCCTTCTGAGAACGAGAAGCAAGAAGTCTTGTCCTCCACCGGCGTGCTCTGGGACGCATGCGACGCGCTGCTGAAGCTATGCGACGATGGCGTCGTCGGACTCGTAGTCAAGAAGGCTCAAGAGTACCGCGCAGTCCTACTAGATGCAATCGAGGAGCTGAAAGAATGGGGCGAAGACGTGGAAGACGACGACGAAGCAGAAGGCAGCGACGACGAAGACGAGATTTTCGGCGCATCGAATAAGATTGGCAAGGACAACAAGGAGCTGAAGGAACTACTGGATACTAGTGTCAAGAAGCTGAAGATGATTGGTATGCTCTACCAAGCACTCATCAAGAGGAGGTTGAAGACGTATCCTGCATCATCCACGCTCGAACCGACCGCCGCAACGAACGGCACGGCATTGCCACCCTGCAAGAAGCTAGACGCGCTCGTGAATACCCTTAAGACGATACCTGAGACGGTCGATGACATTGCAGGCGCATTCTACGACCTGGATGAAGACGAAGCGAAACAGACTCTGGACAAATGCTGTGGTGAGGCAAACAGCGCAATCGAGCTGGTCAGGCAGAGTTGGGCTGGAGAAGAAGACGAGTTCACAGCATGGTCTGGCAAATGGGTGAGCGCACTCGAAGCTGCGTGAACAAGGGAACAAAGCCCGAGACCTTTTCAACATCACCAACCACTCGCGCATGACGTCAAAAACTCAGCAGTTGAAATGAACAGTACGGCATCAATTGCGACATAACGATATACAAGTGATTGTCGCATTACAAATTCCTAATCAACCAACGCGCCCTTCGTATCACCCCTCCAGATATTCGACATCTACAATCCGAAGACGGCAGCCATACCCATGGCAACAACACCGTAGCTAGCAAGCTTGCCAGCAGCAGCGTTCTCAGTCTGCTCAGCGACACCGGAGCTGGTGGGCGACATGGAGCCGCTCATGGTGGGGGATCCGCTCTTCATGCTGGACATCATCGAGCCGGTCATGGAAGCGCCAGATGAGGCGGCGGCAGTGGGGATGTCGGAAAGGGTTACACCGGCGGCGGCGCAGAGGGAGGAGACAGCGGGTGCGAGGCCTAGTGGTCGCGTTAGACATGGACATATATGATAGGTATGTAGAGTATGCAGAAACGTACTGGAAATCTCATCCTGCTGGCATCGCTCGGGTGCGCAAGTGAGGAGCGAGTTCTCAATGGCAGAGCGGCCGCTGGTGCACTGGCAGTTTGTGTCTGTGACACCGCAGTTGGAGTTGGGGAGGGCAGCGACGAAGCAGGGGATCTGTTGAGTTGTGTGTTAATAGATGATGCTAGATACAATGTAACCGTGTCGCGATCGTCTTGACGTGGAGATGTGGGCTCCTAAATCCGATCCGATCGACGATAGGGGAGGAAGGGCAACATACAGCGCACTGGGGGATACCGCTCAAATCCTGAGCACCAACGAAAGCGAGCGAAGCCGCGACGGCGAGGACGGTAGCCTGGAAACGCATCTTGATTATATGGTATAATATATGTTGGTGATAATATTCGATATGTGAAAGATGGACTGGAGTGAGGGAATGTCGATGTGAGATGGAACAGGGTTGAGCGAGAAAACGATGGGACGGAGAGGGGGGTCTATGTACTGATTAAGATTCTGGTAACCAATACCTTGGTCCAAGCCTGCTCCCTAACGAGCAATAGACTCGTGGAGATTAACATTGGAGTTACCCGGTGATCGTCCCCAGGGATTGCCGCGGTTTGTCGCAAAGCCTTGGTATGCAGTTGACTATGTTCCCCAGTACCCCTCCCTGGGCGCTGTTGGTTTCCATGATCTACTGCGCGTTCTATCGCACCTACGTATTCTAGAGGAGTGTATCTCGTCGAGTTACGAGCGACGGATGAGCAGCGAGAGCTTCGCATAGGTGTGTAATGTGCCTCGGAAGGAGGGTTAGGTTGCAGTTAGAGTTTGGGATGGCGCCGAACTTGCGGTCCTTTAGCGTTGGCTAAGCGGCGTGCTGGCACGGCTGTGGAGATGGATGGTGGGAGCGGCCTTGCTTTTCTTTGCTCTGCGCAATGCGACGGTGCGATTTCTTGTCGCCGGCCCAATCACGCTGCCTGCGGAGCTGTGTCAGTGCTGTTTTGGGAGGCCTGGGGCTGGCAGTCCAGACCATTTTATCTTGGATATGTAGGGATGTTGTACCCGATAGAACAGCACCACAGCTTTTGCTGACTTCTCCTCTTTTTGCCCTCTCATCTCGTGCTTGCTGACAGCCTTGCTAAATTGCTTTTCTGTCTGCACAGCGAACGCTTCGGGGGACATGCGTTCTTCGTGCGGCACCGGATACCGACCCTGCGTTAGACGAAAGTATGTCGTCTTGGCGTGCGGATGGGGAAGATGCCGTCGACGGTTCCAATGGACCAGTGGCGTAGTGTACCGCTACAGCAGACTGGACTTTGGACGTGGACGTTCCATCGTCGAACGCTTAGTCTTTTGCAGTAACATTCTGCGCTCCGCTGCTTAAGATTGTGCGTCCTTTATCGAACGTCGAGAAGATTGCACAAGATTTGATGCCATCATTGCGCTACCAAGAGCGCCGAGATGTGTTGCTGACGTCTTGATTCCGGCAAAGGAAGGCGACGCGTGAAAATGGATCGCAAGATGCAGGTACGCGATAAGCGGCATGCGGGCCTTAGATCACTGTCCCCACCAACATCCCTTTTCTCCTTCCACAGCAATTCGATCTCTCCGTCGCAGACCTTTCACTCACAATCCCGTTGTAACCTCTCACCCTCTTCTGAGTATCGACAATCAATAAAGCCTCGTCTCGAGCCGAGACTTGATAGATTGTCTTCAGTCGCGACGATCCCAGGTTCTCGATCCTACGCACGGCCCTTCCCAAGGCGTCTGAAACACAGGGCTCGTGAGTCGCTCGCCTATGCAGATGGGCGATTTTGTCTCATATTCCTTTTGCATGGTGACGAAATCATGCTTTTCTGCATGTGAAGGTGTCAACGCCGTTGACGATGCACGAGGCCGGCAGCGATGAAACCGGAAACGCGGCACGGTAGATGAACCAGTCCAAACATCGCGCGCGGGGGTTTCAGACATATTGCGACCGTTGTCCCACATCCAGCAGTCGGCGCTGGCTGCTGAGGTATAATAGTGATGATGCGATTGGTTTCGAGTTGGTGTGCACGTTAAGTGGATTCTGTACATAGTACTTGTTGTTTGAGGCAATTGATTGTATTCAACACCACGAATTGGCTGACGCGAGTCTGACAGCACGAGCTGAACCGTGAGCCTATGAAAAGGCTGTAGTGACTAGCAGTACATGAAGACTCCGATGAACATGCAATCCTCCCGCACCTGACTCTACTAAATGTACTCAAACTTGTGTGATGCTATTGCCAACCTCCAGAAACACCGTGTCCAGCCCGGTGAAGGTTGTAATCTAGCCAGAACCCTATCGTTGATCGTAAAATGAGATCTTTGCAAAGAGAAGTCGAAGTCGCAGAACGGGAAGGTATATTGCTAAGTCGGAAGCCGGAACAGATTAAGGAAAGAAAAAGGCCGTGATCGCAGACACGGCGATCCGTGGACCGAAAGTAGACATACAGAAAAGAAAAGGGATTTCCAAATGTGCCAAAGATGAAAGAGAGATCGCTTTTGATCGAGAATGTTGAGGTGCTGACAGAGCAACACCTTATATAGATGAGGTGTCCTTTAGAACATGGCACCCTCCATAGGCTGTTGACCGTTCGCAGGGCGTGGAGGTGACCCATTGCGTCCGGTGAAGCCGTTTTGAGGCATCGCTGGCGAGGGTCCCATTTGGCTTTGTGCATCTCCGCGCAGGCTCCTGCCTTCGCTCGACGCCTTCCGCAGCCTGCCCTTTGGTTGCTGCGATTGGTTCATCAGTGCGTCAGACGAATTGGTGCGGAGTGGTTCGGCGTAAGGGGCTCGAGGTCCATCCATTCCATGCTGGACAGCAGGATCATAAGGTGATGGTCCCGTTGGGCTTTGGCTTTGGCTTTCACCGCGGCCAAATCCGAAACGTCGCCTCATAGGATTGATGGGCGGAACAGGCGGAGCGTCGTTCTCCATGCCATTCTTCAGAGAAGCACCAGCTGGAAGATTGATTGTGTCAATGGAAGACGTTGTGGAAAGGAACACCGGCTCCGAGATCTCCGACTTCGCGATAGACTTCTTCCGTAGTACTCCAGTCTTGGTCAACGGCTGCACAGTACTTGGGTTGAAGGCGGCAGCGTTGGGTGTAGTGGGGTTTGAGACAGGAGGGGTGTGATTGGCGGAGAACGGAGGCACTGGAGATGTTGGATGCGAGAAGCCATTGCCGTTGGCACTGCTGAAGCCACCTGGTGAAGGCCGCGGTGAAATAGGGATTCCCGGGGAGAATTTCCCTCCAGGAGGCAGACGAGTGTTCTGACCCGGTCCAGCGTTGGTCTGGATAGGGTGCAGATGCTTTGACTCGAAATAGTTCGCCGCGGCGGTTTTGCTGTTGCTACGCGATCGCATGCGACCCTGGGAGTCCAGCGATGGTCTCTCGGAAGGAAGTGGAGGCGTAGGGTGAGCAGAGTATCCAGGCATTGATGGCATCGTGTTCGCAGGATACACGCCGCGGGAGCCGTCTGTCATAGCTTGATCCAGATCATCGCGGTACTGATCATGGCGACTTCGGGATCGGCCTGATGATGTTCCAGAGCTCGAGCGCTCTCGCGTTGAGCTTCTGGTCGATGCTTGTGGAGATCTACCTGATGGACGACCAGTCCGGCTGCTCTCTGTTGCTGATCGCTGACGGTTCTCGAGTTCCCGCTGTGCATCTTGCTCACTTTGCTGCAGTACTCGAGATTGCTTTGGTCGCAGTGCAGGCATATCACCTTGAAGGCCGACGAGCGAGGTGCTGCTGACATTGGCCGAACTTCCTCCAAGAGCAAGCTTCCTTACTGACTTGTTAGAAACATCAACTGTAGCAAAGGATTCACGGCTCGACTTTGCACGAAGCATGTTCAAAGCCGTCTTCAGTCCGTTGGATGGGCCGCCGGGTGCTGGTGCTGGACTTGTTGAACGGCCTTCAGCCTTAGCACGGAGATTCTCCTGTATCAAGCGCTGCCGGTGAGCGAGGTCTCGCTGGAAAGCTTCGTGGTCAGCCTCTGTCTCGTTGCTAGCAACACGCTCGTGGGCCCTTCGCGGAGTAAGATCCCAGGGAGCTGCAGGGTTTGGTTCGGTTGCGCTCATTATCAGCGGTGTGGTATTTTGTCCATTGGCCTGCTCATCGGAGTTCAGTTTAACGAGTTCATCGCGGTAAGGGTTGTCAATGTCATCCAGATCCCACGGGTTAGAGTGGCTGTATGTTGAGGGAGCTGGGGTAGCCGATTCCGACCCGGGTTGGCGGCGCTGGAAGCCAGACCCTTGTGTATGAATGGCGAGCCCCATAGGTGGGCTCATCATTGGAGGACCTGGCTCACCATAGTTGGAAGAAACATTGCTGACGTTGCGAAGATGCTGCCTGATCATTCCACTGAGTCCGCCGTTCTCAGGACCCAATGTTGGTGAGTCAACCTCAGTACCATCCACTTTCACTGTCTCGTCGGGGCGTGGAGATGCCTCTTGGGTAAGAGCAGGGCTGTATGGAGAAGGGCCATTCTGAGAAACTTCTTCCTCCGATGTCGTCCGCGAGCGGAACGCAGGATGCTCGAACATTGAAGGTGCGGGTCCGGTTGCTACGGGGAGATTGTCAAATCGGCGAGCGGGCTCTGCCGGGCGCGTGGTTGACGGCCTGGGAGCTTCATCTTCTGCTTCGCTGGAATCTGGGGAACTGAAGAATGTGGCCTTGCTGCAATTGTCCGGAGACGCTGCTGATTGACGGGGAATGGCTGGGAGACGTTGGGTTGGTGGCGAGGTCGGTGTACCTGGACCTGCGGTTCTCATCTGACTGGCAGCAGCTTGAAATCTGGAAAAAGCAGAGGGTGCTTGAGCTTGTTCAGCAGTTGATTCAATGCTTGACCGTTCGTTTGCGTCACTTTCAGCTCGCTTACGCCTTTGCTGTTCGGCACGCTCTCTCAAAGTAGGCTTGCGAGGCGGGGACCTCTCGGCCTTCTGAGCTGGTGTTGAGCGCCCCTCGCGGTCCTGCTGCATATGACGCAAGCGCTCTGCATACTGCTCTTCGCTGAATGCCGCCTTGGGCTTGTTAAAAGCACCCATGGCAGTCGCTTTGCCCCGATCGTTGGGTTGGAGCGCGGCATTGAGGGTATGTGCTTCCTCACTGTCACTAATGACAGGACTTGCCAACGCAGGCGACTGCGGGCGGGCGAGCACAGGGCTTGACGCGCCGGAGGAGTTGTTCCTGCTTATGCCAGGGTATCCGAGCGCGTTTGGGCTGTCTGAGCGGAAGGCGGGTGGTCCCCGTGCGAACCGATCACTGAGATTGGTAGCAGACCGTGCCTGAGATATGGGGATCGGCGGGGTTGATCGCCCGGTTGGCGCGCGTGCGCGTTGTATGGAGTTGAGACGGTTCATAGCTGAGGATTGTTGCTCTTGGATTTGTTGATCTAGTCCTTGGTCGTAAAGCCTCCGTTTCGTTGTCGACCGACCTAGATCTGGCGATGTCATCGGGGCACCTGCCGGGGGAAACGCCGGCGAGGATGCTGATACAGAGTTGGTGCCCTGTGACGCTATCGATGTCGCGGCTGTGGATGTGCGGGTGTTCAATGTGCCTGAGTTGGTGGATGACGAAGTCTCCCTCTTGCGGCTGAGCTCAGTAGGACTGGACGGCTCAGAGCTCTGGCCGTCTTCATAATCCGCCTGTTGCCTCAGCCTGTCCTTCTCCTCTTGTCTGAGTCGTTGGTATGCTGACATGTTAACGTCGTCGTCGTAGAGTGTCCGTCCGGTGCCCTTCGCGTTTGTATTAGAGATCATGTAGATCTTTTGTCGGCCGCCAAACAAGACGTTGCCCTCGCCGGGTCTAGCTCTGCTCATAACGCTACCAGAGCCATCGTCATCCCTACTGCTGTCGAAGGAGTTGGTACGTTCGCTTGCGAAGGGCGGTCGGATGGAGCCATTGAGCGAAGACACTTCAGCTATGTCGGAAAGACCTCCTGGAACGAAGCCGAACTCGTGGAGGCGCGACTGGCGTTTCGGTTGTAGTACACTGTCGTCGCTGGCCTTGCCAATCTTGGAGTCTGGGTCATCCTGCTCTCTCAACATGCTGAAGCGGGTAGACAGGCCAGGCATGATTAAACTTGTCCGGAAGTCATCGGCTTTGGGCAATGCGAAGTTGAGATCGAACTCTGGTTTGGGCTCTTCCTGACCCTTCTTGCCCTTCTTCGTCTTCTTTGGGGCGGCGGCCGCATCCTCGGCGCCATCCTTCTTCCTGTTCAACCAGCGGTTCATGATGGTCTGGCAGTTATTAGCAAAGGTATAAGTACGCCGCATTGCATCCGGAGTGGGCGAGGCAATGGAAGCGCGCCTTGGCAATGGGGAAGGGGAGGAGTGTAGTCTTACTGGCGAGAGTGATTAGACTGGATTATAGCGACGGCTGTGCGCTGACCAATCTCGACTGGAGTGTCGCTGGGGTGAGCGGGAAGGCGCACTCGAGCGAGGAGTGGGGAAGGTGAGAGCAAGGCGACTCGGGCTGGGAGGAAAGAGCAAACGCGAACATGTAGCGGGGCCAAAAACAACAATGGAGGCAGTCACGGGCAGTCTTTTTCGAAAGTGTGTCCTAGGCACAGTGGAAAGTAATGTCGGCAAGAGACGCAGGAGGGAGCTCGGGGTGAAAAGGAAGGCGTGCAGCGATTGCAGGCGGGATCGGGCGCGCGAGACTCTGGATGGCTCGGTTGGCGGCAAAAAGTACAAAACAATAGATTATGGCAAAGGTTAAGGAGCGTGTGTAGCTGGCAGCAAATGGGTGAAGGAGTGAATGCACGCGCGCTGCGGAGTGCTGGCGTGGTGGTAGAAAAGAATGCAGAAAGCAGATCTCCCGACCGAAAAGAGGCTTCGAGGAGCGGGTCGACGTGGGTATGCACTCTTTGGGCCTCTGGGGGAGTGACAAGCACTCGCACATGGGACAAGGATCAATTTCCACTAGCCTCATTTCCGCGTCGCGCATGGGCGTCGCGGTGCAGGGAGCAGAGAAGCCATAGAGCGCGGGCCAATATCCGCTCGATAGGCTGACTGAGGTCGGACGGCCAGTATTGCGCCGCTGAGCCCAAACCCGCGCCGTCCCAGGGGATGCGGGCGACAGGCAAACGCGACAGTGTCGACGGCGATGCATCGACGCGATCCAACGGCATTTGCTAGCGCCCTCGCCGCTTCCTCGCAGCTCGTCAGACATGCTCCTTCCGCGTCACACGTCGCTCCTGCCTCGTCAGTCGCGTCGCAGAGTCATGCCTTCCTTTTGCAATAACAAACTTTGCCTCCCCCCACAGTCTGAAAACAACCACGCACGTTCTCATGATAGCCCTTGGCCCGCCCTTTGCAGCTGCCGCAACGACAAAAAGTATCATGAACACTGCGAGGGACATCGCGCTCCGCTAGCACTCCGTCCAATCAGCGCCCTGCCCTGAGCGGTACCTTGCAGGCGTCGGGAGGGGCTGCTGCATCCCTGCATCCTCGATATGACAGCGCCCGCGACTTGCTTTTCTCGTCGCGCCACGACGCATCGTCAGCTTTGCCTCTCCGCCCGTCAGCTCTGCAGCGCCGACACGATATGCTGCCCAATCGCCAGTCTTGCACATGGGTAGCCAAAGTATGCGGGGAGACGATCCAGAAGTACCAAACGCCCATCGCGTACCTGAAGCCGCTAACCTCGGGACGTATAATGAAGCGAGCGAATCACCCAGCTTCCTAGTCATGGTCCCGGTGGCCTTTCGCTGTGTTCCCCTGGCCTAACCGCCTGGCGCTGTCATACCTCCCCTTTCCATGTACTACGGTAGGCGCAAACCTATGCTCCAATGCTCCAACGCTCCAAGACGTCCTCTTGGTTGACTCTTGAGGAAAGGAATGCAATTGGTCTTGTCTTTTCGCGATACTGGGCCCGGCCAGACTCGCATCCGGAGACCTGGTCCAACTGTCGTGTCATCTCCCGCGTGGCCGTCTGTCTACCGTCAGGCCGCCCCTGGCAGCGGATCCGAACGGCCATCCTTCCCCTTCTGTTTGGAACGTTGGATGCTCGTCGGCAGACTCAATGCCGGCAGAGTGAATTCCTCGCCGTCGGCGAATAAGGCCAACTGGCTATGCTGTAATTCAGTCCTTGCTGAGCTTACAACAGAAACCTGCATCTCCTTCCTGCATACGCAACCGCCACACTCAGTCCGAGAGCTTCTGCATACTAACTTTCCAGCAAGTTTCAACCTGAATTCCGAAATGAATAGCCCGGGCTGGACCTAATCGATTGCATCGGTGCCACGAGGTAAGCAAATTGCCCCTCACCCGCCGCCTACCGTTGTACGCTGACGATGATCATCTCCAGGCCGTCCGCGAAATTGCTGTAGGATCGGCGCCACTCCAGCCCTGTGAGGCAGCAGTACCTTATTCGCCAGCACCGTCCCGTCACACGCGACAGGGACGCGCCCACGGTATCTATCCTCTTCAGCGCCATGTTGGCAAACACCCACGCGCTGGTACTTTTGCCCACCACTTGATCAGGCTTCAGATTCAGCCCAGGCCACCGCCCTGCTAACCGACCCCACGATTGTTTCATGCTTCCGTACACATGTCCGACGAACGCCTCACTGCGGTCCAAGCAGCCATACATACTCGTTGAAGCTCCACTACCCAAGCATCATCGCTGCAGGCCAGCACTGCCGTTATTGTGACAGCGGGTCAGGTTTATCAGGCTGTGGCCTGTCGGATGTAACGACAAACTTCACAATCCGACCCTTTCGCATTTCCCTGAAAAGTTGAACCCTTGATGAGTTTCCTTATATATACATAGAGTTCGTCCAGCGGGGTCAGCAGAATGATGTTCAGTCATCCAGAAATACAGACCTTTGAGGAACGCTGCAACTGTCGTTGGCGTCCTCGATGTCACTGTCATCGTACGTATCCAGTCGCGAAAACCCGTTTGCTGCCAAGGAGACCCGCGAAATTGACGATGCAAATTCTTCTCCAAGGCTACGGCAGCATCTCGCGATCGATCCGTTGGCTCGCTGTAAATCGAGACTTCGAAAGTATATCCTTGTCGCGGAGACCGAGATGACAAAGCTGTCTAATTTCCGCCGATCATCCGGACAACACTTTTCGGTGAGCAGGGTCTTGCTGTGTCAGTGCGGAGACCTTGATTGATCACAATCTAAGTAACGCGCTCTTGTGTGTGATAGTCACAGGGCTCTACCGATGAAAAACCGATGTCCGGAGTCCGACGAGAGCGTTTTGAGTTATCCAGATTACAGCAGTCTACTCTATCATCCTTGTGCAGTTGAAAATTTCAAGAGAGAACAATTTTCAACCTACGTGTGCACGTTTTCGACCTCAGATCTGTGGGCTTGCACTCCAACTTCTGCTGCAATTCCCAAATTTCATACAATTACGATACCAACCTCTCGTACGGATCCTCCAAGTTGCTTCACTCGCAGTGACCTGGTAATTTGACTGTTCGCGATATATGAGGATCCCATGTTCGGTCATCTATATGGTCATCGCTACCTATCACGTTCAACAAGGAGGAGCTACCTCCCTGTGATCTCAATTCCTCAAAGTCAATTCCGAGAATCGCGGATGAGCTTGTGCCGACAGGTTTCTTTGTGTGTATATCTCGAACATAACGGGCAAGGATCGTTCTGACGTCCTGATTTTTGAAGCTTTGTATAGTTCACCCACGGTTATAACGAGAACCCCATACAAGGAAGGAGCCGAACACTCTGCAGCCTACGTTGTTATCAAAGCCAAAGTTAGTAAGTTCTTAACGCAATGCAGGCTTCTGGATTACCTATTGCTGCCCTTCGTTGTAAGTGGGTGTTCAATGGTTTTGCTGGGATGGGGTCCAAGAAACAATGGATATCAACATTCATCCCTTTCTCATCGGCTGATGTGGAGCTACGTCACTACGCGCTCTCACTCTCACTCTCACCTTCACTCCCAAGTTGCCAGTTTCTCGCTTGATGGTCCTTATTCACTCGCGCAGATTTGGAGCGCCCGCTTTCTGAGAGAGATTGCCCTTGCGTTACTCACTAATGCTCCTTCCTTATCCTTACTCCACCTTCACACGTCACTCGTTCTACACCTACTCAGATGCTGTTCGGTCTTCTCCTGCAAATCACAGCGCTTGCGACTGCAGCTGTGGTCAAGCATAAACCAAATTCTGACTATGTCTTCACCTGCAATACTCCCATTCCCCCTCTCCCCAACGGGACCATGGTCACGAGCTGGGCGCAGTATCTCGATTCGACTGGTGACGATCTCGACTCGGGCGGCCAGGGTGCTGTTGATCACTTTGGTGGCCCTGCTGGTAAAGCTCCGTTGAAATGGCCTCGTAACTCAGAGAACATGGCTATTGTCCCTTACTGCTATTATAACGAGCATGATCGCGATGCGGCCCACGAGGTAATCGAGGCCGCTATCAACAAGTGGATGAGGTGCGTGTACATGCAGTACGACCATCGATTAATCGTTGACAATGAGCCCTTAGTTACATTGGTCCTCCGGGAAAAGAATCCGGCCACGCCATTAATTTCGAAGAGCTCCTGGATAAGGGACAGCCAGTATACTGCTACGAGCCGAACCCGAACGATTCAGACCCTGACTTCCCCTGGTTTTATAACAAACATCTGACTAACGAGATCGTAACGATCATGGTGAACAAGGGAGCGGCCGGTTGGGGGGCTGGTGTAGGTCTAAGGGCTGACCAGTCGCATCCGTGGGGGAACATGTTCTACGTCCCGGATACAGGTGAACTTGTGAACGTGGAGTGGGCGGCTATGCACGAGCTTGGTCATGTCATGGGTGAGTGGTCATATACGATTAAGCCACTGATGAAGGCGCTAACAAAAGCCAGGTATGGCGCATGAACACCAGCGTGCTGATAGAGACGACTATATCGTGGTCAGGCCCGAGTTATTGGATGATTTCGAACAGGTTAGTACAATATACACTAAACCGCCAAAACATACCCAACAGTTTTTAACTCGGAACAGTGCTACGAGCGCGCCCACGCAAAGAACGCTAGAGTAACCAAAGAAAATGTATGCGCCTCCCTGAGATATGCACTTCGGAACGAGTGCGTGTGCAAAGATATCATCAAAGGCATGGCCGAATTCTACCTCCCTCTCTTTAGCTTCGACAAATACGACATCGACAGCATCATGCATTACCCGAGCGCCCTTGGGGGTACAGTCAATTGCCAACTGTACAGCGGCGAGGAGGACACTGCTGAGTGTCCTATTCAAGTCTACAAGAACTTTGAGGATCATAGCCAAGGGACTACGAAGCTGACGCCGAACTTGAAACCGTCTGCTCAGGATATAGCGTGGGTTAAGAAGGTCTACGCTTGGGATGACAAGGGTGGAACATAGGGTGCGGCGGAGTCATTGGCTACCGTCGCAACGTCTTTGGTAGCTACCTGAAGCTTCGAGCCGTTACGTGGGAGCAGCGGTAGAAAGGTACTCGGGAATACTGAGCAAGATCAGCAAAGCTCTTCCGTTTTCTTAGGATAGCAAACGATATAACTCAGAACGGACTATGACTTTCACAGTTCATAGCTCATTCATGTCGGAGTCCATCTCTGAATAGTAAAAACAATTACCAAAGCAAATTATCTCATCATAAACACCCAAATTATGCAATTGCCACTACGCTTGTCTTCTCGCATCATACGCAAGATCTGGGAAGTGGAAGAAAGCAACAGACAACAAACATATACTAAATGAGCAGCACCAAGTACGTGTACACAGGATCTTGCATCAAGATTAAATACCTGACACATCATACAAGGACCGTCGAAACTGCATCCGCTACCTAGGTAAGCGTACCAAATATCCCCCCTACATGCACATTCCCCTCTAGTCCACTCGCACCCCCATGCCACAACGTCATCTCATCACCTGCATTCGCCCGTCTTTTCTCCTGCTGAAATCCCCAAATCGGCAGCCGCGCACTTCCACGTTCCCAGACCCTACTCAACAACATGCACGCTACGTAAGACCATGCAGCTACCCGCTGCAGGTCAGCCTCAACTGCATAAGGGAACCGCGTAAAACGGCTAACAGCGGGGCTACCAAGAAGCTTTATCTCATGTAACCAGACCTCAACAATATGCATGATGCATCCTTTATGCGGAATAGGGTTTGTTTGTTGAGGCAATCTCGGAATGCTTGGATAAGGGCGAGATAACGAGGCGGAGGGTCTGATGGGTGGGAGGGAATGGATATGCAGAGACAAGCATCGTCGTCATCGTCATCTTTATGATGCGCATCACATCATGCGTCGTTCTAAAAAGCATCTTCCTTGAACATGTTTTTGTTGCATTACAATACATAAATCTCTTGCGAACCATGGACATATCTAATCTTGATGCGCCTGGGGAACCAAACACGCCACACGGGGGAATAATGTTCCTTCTAGGAAGGATATATGAACCTTTTGCCCCTTGCTCCAACTATACTACCATGCATCTAATCGTCGTGAATATTGAGGGACATCACCCGCCTGTGTTGACACGTATATTTAACATTGCGCGATGGCGACGGAAACAGCCTGGTCGTCCGAGTGGCTGATGCTGATGTTGATGTTCTTGACACCGACGCGCTTGGCTTCTTCGTCGGCTTTGCCGTAGAGCTGTGTGGACGTTAGCGATTCATCTTAAAATTGAGGAATGGTAGAGACGTACCTGAACAGTTGGCGCGCCTGACTCGTCGTTGATGATTTCAATATCCTTCAGCGGAGCACCGGCGCCTTCACCCTTGACACCAAGAGACTTGAAGACAGCTTCCTTCGCTGACCACTTGCCTGTGAAGCTGGCTTGCGGGTTTGGTGCCTTTTGGCAGTATGCAATCTCCTTCTCAGTGAAGTTGCGCTCGATGAAGGTCTCGTTCTCAATGTTGAGCGCACTGAGGCTCTCAACATCGACACCAACCTTGCTGTTGGAGGAAGCTGTAGCTTGAGTGAGTTGCTCAACCATCTTCATCGTCTCCTGCGCTTTCTTGTCCTTCTTGGGAGCAGGGGTCTTCGCATAGCTGTACGTCGAGGTCTTCTTGTTCATGGTGACACGCGCTTGCGGGTTGAGGAAGACCTCCTGCATCTTCTCGTCCTCGTACGGCGCCTTGTCCTTGGCACGGAACATGGTGTTGTTGATGAGGCCATCGTGGAAGTATCGGTAGGCCTTCTTTTGGCGAGCCTCAACCTTCTGCTTGTAGGCAGCGAACTGGTGGTGCTCAAGCGCGGCAAAGAGGTACTTGGGGTGGATACCGATAGCCTGAGTTCCCTTCTGTCCGAAACCGAACGAAGTAACGGAGAAGGCCTTGATCCCATCGGTCTGAATAGCCTGCGACGGGTAGACGATGTAATCGTATTGCTCCATGATCTTGTCGACGTTATCGGCGTTACGGTTGCCGGGTACGAGACCAGTGTTGAGCACCTGCAAGCAGCCGTTGAACATCCAGGCACCGGCAGCACCCTTGGGGTGACCAGTGAGGTACTTCTGCCAAATACCAAGCAGCGCATTACCCTTCTTACGGCCGAGGTGGCGCATCTGGTGGTTGATGACGTCGGACTCGTTCTTGTCGTTCGCAACAGTGGAGGTACCGTGGAAAGAAGCGACATCGAGGTCGTCGATGGTAAGACCCCAGGTAGCAAGAGCACCACGAAGAGGAGCGATGCGTGAATCTTGCTTCCAGAAGCTGTTACCCAGACTGTTGAGCGCGTCCTTTTCTTGTCGCTTGGCTTCCATCTCGATGTTAGAGGCACGCTCCTCAAGATAAGCAGCCTCGTCGAAGTCCTCGCCAGTAGCATCCTTCATCGCCGCGACCTCCTCCTGGAGGTATAGGACTTCCGACTCTTGCCACTGCTTGATTTGCTTGCGTCGGAGGTCCATCTGTCGTCGCCTGTACTTGATGTCAAGGAGCGGAGATGGGAACTTGGATGGGTTCTCTCGTGCAGTCGTCAATACACCCTTTCCTGGAGCAGGGACGGAACGACCAATCTTGTCGGTTGCTGTGGCCGTGAAGCCAAGGATACCGTAGATGGGGACTCCCATGTCGAGGGCGAGCTTGGCGTCCATGATGACTTGCATACCGCAACCCTGCGACTCCATGAAGCCGTTTCTGGTTGTGGTGGTGGGGCGCGACATCTCCTTAGGGGTACGTCCGTGAGCGAATTCGTCTTCGGCATTGCTAGTGGCCTTCATGTTGGCGAACTCGTATGAACCTTCCTCTTGGAAGTCATCGAAACCACCTACAAAGCAGACACGTGCCTTTCCTTCGACGATAGTGTCGTAACCGATATCAAGAGACTCAACAGCAGTGGCGCAAGCTCCTACAGGGGTCTTGATAGGTCCAGTAGATGAGATGAGCAACATGTTAACCCAAGCGCTCATAGTGTTGATGAAAGACTCTTGCAGAATATCCTTCTGGACTGGCTTGTCCATGAATCGGTCTTTGTACATTCCTCGAAGGGCGGTAGTACCACCAATACCGGAACCGACGCAGTTACCGACCTGAGACAAGTGGACATATTGGTAGAACTCGTAAGGGTCTGTGATACCACTGGCAAGCAGACACTCGGCAGTGGAGACGAGCACGAAGAGTGTTACAGGGTCGACTTGAGAGATGATGTCGTCCGGTACACCGTACTTCTTTGCATCCCAGCCAGTCGGGATTTGACCAGCTACGAGACGGTCGAAGCGAAGAGCCTTGGGAAGGAGGAGTGTAGCTCCCTTCTTCATGCGGACAGTGTACTCACTAGACTCTTCGATCGCAAAGATCTCGACCTTGTCGCCATGCTCCTTCTTAAACTCCTCCGCAAGCTCCTTGGAAGCCTCAAATGGATCGAGATCCTCCTCAATCTGGATCTCTTGCATAAGCTGCTTCTTCTTGGGGTCGTAGCCATTGAAAAGCTCGGGCTCGATGAGGCGGATACCAGCGTGCTCAAGGATGTACTTCTCGTACTTGGGCTTGACATCCTTGTCATCGATTGGCTCGTTGGTCTTGGCGTCGACCCATCCGGAGTAGCTCTTGCCCTTGAGAGGACCGTTGTGGTTCTTGATGAGACCCATGATCCAGGCCATCTCAACGCATCCCTCAATGGAGAATTCACCGTACGCCTCCATCTCCCAGCGTGTCCTAGAGTTACCCCAAGGACCTACCTCAGAGAAACCAGTGACGACAACGACCTTCTCAAGATCGACCATGCCCTTGAGATTCTCGTTGAGAGGCTTGACTTCCGTGTCCCAATCAGGTAGAGTAGGGAAGTCAAACTTCATGTTTGCACGTGGTTCGATTGTGGCCTTCTTGTATAGGGCCTCGCTGGCCTCACCGTTGACAACCTTGTTCTCGATGGCATTCTCTTTGATGACGGCTCGGCGGATGTCGCTTGTTTCTGTGAGTTCCTTGCGCAAGTCGGTCATCAAGTCCTTCAGGTTAGGAATGTACTGGAAGCCGCCGTTAAGGTCAGCCCATACAGGCTCGACCTGGCAGAGGTTGACGATCGGTGGTGCCATCAGACCAAGCAAGTTGAAGGCCATCTCCTGTTGAGAGAAGGTGCGTACACCGTACTTCTCAATACCCTCAGCGACGATGTTGTTGGCTCCCATCAAACCTGTGCCTCGAGTCCAGCCGATGACGGCACCACAGATTGTGAGGTAGTTGCCCCAGCTCTCTGAGTGCCACCTCGAGAAGAGAGTCTCAAGCGACATCTTGGATTCTGAGTAAAGACCGTCGTTACCGAAAGTTCCGTGGTTGGGTGACAACGGCAAAATGACTTGTGCTGGGCGGGTCTCGTAGCCGTAGGCCTGTTTTTGCTTCTTGACAGCTCCGAGCATGCGCAGCAGGTTGGTCAACATGATGCGGTGGGCGAGCTCAGACTTGGAGTCGATGCTGTCAATTTCTCGGCCGTTCTCCGGGATAGCAGCGAAAGGAACGATGAGGTCGAGATCCCATCCAAGGCCCTTCTTGGTGTCGAAGATGTAGTCGACCAAAGCCTCAACGTCTTGGTTGCTGCCCTGGTTGAAAGGCACAACAATGAGCTGAGAGCCGCGGGCGCCGTATCGCGAGTACATGGACTGGTAGTACTCGGTGACCTCCCGGGAGAACCTGGAAGTTGTAAGGACGACCTTAGCACCACCACTGATGAGACCCTGAAGGACTTGCGCGCCTATAGAGCCGGCACCAGCGCCCGTCATAAGAGCGTACTTGCCCTGGAAAGTGACACCAGACTTGGCGGCATCCTCTAGGCAGTCCAGGTAAACGCCAGTCAGCTTCTTGCTGTACTCCCAGCCATGGTCATCTTTCCTCTTGAGATGTAGGAAGGGAATGGTCTCGACCTTGCCCTGCTTAGCAGAAGGATTGACGCGACCGTTGCGACCCCTCTTGCCGCTAGCAGCCTTGCCGTTCTCGCTGGGCATGATCTGTCCCTCGTTCATTGACAGCGAACGAATGACATTACTGTAAAGGCTCTTGATCTGGAGTTGGGAGGACTTGGAAAGCTTGTGTTGCTGCTTGATGAGCTTGTAGATCCTCTGCAGGTCGTTCTGGACCTTGGTGCGGTTGCCGTACTCGGACAGCTTTCCACCCTCAGCCATCTCGCGCACGTAGTGCTCCAGCTTGCGG